AGATGACATACCAGAACACAAGATGACAAATCATGATACAATATAACAACATAACTGATCATAGTCGATCGGCGTACAACACGCAATGACAACACATATCCTGTTATGACACAACGCCACAACACAAACCATAACACCGAGGCAACGCATAGCGATGACGAGGACGACTTAACACAACATGGCGCAACATAACATGACATACCATAGCATGAGCTTGACACAACATGGCAAAACATAATACAGCACGGTCGTGATAAAACCGATCAACGCATAACGCCACATAACATGCCATAGCGCGGCAGGGCATAACACAATGCGACATAACGCAACATCGCAGAAAACGTTGGACATAACACATGTTGACAACCATATCATACCATGACACACCATTACATAACACATCATGGCGCAAGTGAAGCGCATAGCGGCCCAAACAAGCATTTCGCATCATAATATACCACGCAACGCCGAGCCTGCAACAGACAAAACAAACGTCGCATAACGTGCCCGAGATGAACATGACATAAGCACATACAGAAAACAACGCATCATAACAGCGCCAGTCATCGCATAACACACATCGACAAAACATACCATACCACGACACAGCTGCACGGAACATATCATGACACGATAGCAGAGCAAAGCGACACATACTAGCAGCGTGGAAAACCATATAGCCTAATTAACGACACATCCTCAACAACGCCGAGCCGTCAATCAAACAGAACATCTCATAACGAACCGGAGCAACAAATTGCAACGCAGAAGACGACCGAGCGCAACGTGTCATAACAGGGCCGGTGCTAACATGAGGCACCCTGACAAACCGTATCATATCGCACCATGGCCCAGCTTCTCGGGACATATCATCACGCGACAGCAGCTCCTTGCGTCACTTACTAGCTAAGCGTATCATCTTCTACTATACCGGTCCGAGTTGTCATCGGCAGCACGGGGCAGAGCATACTTGAGCATCGCCTGACATGACACGCGATGTCACCCCATGGCGGCGCTAGGCTGATCGCACCGAAACATCAAAACACGCGGTGACAACGATGGGCGCAACAGGACAGAATCCATCTGAGGAGAAGCGCATAAGTGAAGAGGAGCGCCATAACACGCGACGCACATAACGCCGCGGGCGTCGCGACGCCACGCCGGCCTTTTTTCGAATGAATGTTGTAACTCCACAATGACCTGGGCCCTCGCATGTCGCAGTCGTTCGAAACAGCACCGAAACACCATGGAACTCATGGGGCCCTCGGAATTCGCTGCGAGGGCGGGCGGCGCCCGGGCCCCCTTCCGCCCTCACCCCTGGCGCGGTTGCCCCCCGGGCGCTGAGCTCTTGCTCCCGCTTCCCCCCCCGCCCCCACCCTCCTTCCCCCCCCCGCCGCCCCTCTCGCCCCCCTCCACCCCCCCTGAGGCGACGAGATGTCGTCCGTCGCGCGAAGCGCCATCCTGCTCGAGCGCCGTCTGCTTGAGCTGCTGAATCACTGCGGCCCCGCACTCCTTCGCGGGCTTAAGAAGCAAGCGCGTTGCCCTCGCGTGGAATTCGAGGAGCTCCGCCCCTGCGAGATGCGATGGTAGCATCCACGCTGCAAGCGGCAGATCACTCAGATAAAACGGCCCACGCAGGATTGGAACGAGACGCCTGAAGCGGCCGGGCACTTTCAGAGGAAGCCCGCGAGGAAGCTGTTCGCGCAGTTCCGAATCGCCATCGTCGACGCGCGGGGCGGCCGTCAGAACTGCCGCCCGGGCGCCCGGGGCCAAACCCTCGCGCGCCGTCGACTTCCACTCGCAAAATCGTCGGCGCCGAACCCGTGGACTTTCTGCGCGATGTCCTTGGTGACCATGGCTGCGGGCGCGCGCGGCCCCGAATTGCCTGTCATTGCTGTCGCCGATTCCATCGTCTCCCAAACGGTGATCGCCAGGCCCACGGCGAACAGTTCAACGGTGCCCGAAGGAAAATTCTGACCATAAATAACTCTCCGAACGAGCGAGGACGGGAGCTCGCGCACTTCCACTGCGCGTTGCAAGAAGCTTTTCGCGACGCTTGTGTTCGTTGTGTTAAAACGTTCCTGAGCCGCGGGGCCTCGCCAGGGGGTTCGCGCAGCCTCGATCGCGTCGTGCTGGATCGCAGCGGCCTTCTCGTCGGCGGCGGCGCAGTCCTTCAGGGCCCAGATGTGCTGAGGGCCCTTCTCGTTAGATTCTTTGTATACCCCGACTCACTCTGGCCATCAGAAACATCAGCGCAGTGGCGCCCGTGCTGCCCGGGTCGAACCCGGGCAGGTCCGCCTTCAAGTACTGGTTGTCGATCTCGTCAAGCTTCCTCAATGTCTCTCGGATTTCTGTTCCTTTTTTAAAGAGCAGTGTGGCCCGGCTCTCCAATGGGGCCTGAGACAATGGGATCATCTCGCCAGTCGAGATGGCTTCTGACAGCTAATGAGTAACCTGGCCGGTCGGTGACGCACTCGAAATAACGTTCGGGCTGATGCTGGTGACCTGCGTCGTGGAAATCCACTTGCCGAAAAAGACAGACTTCTCGCCCCCTTCCGTGCCCGTGCTCTTCGCATCGGATGAACCGGACTTCGCGGGCGGTGGCCTCCATTTCGGAGGCATGGCAAACAGTGGTGAACTGGATCGTGAAGCGACTGGCCTGCTTGCAGGGCCGCGCCGCTCGACCCAAAATGGCAACGAAGCTCCCTCCTCTCCTCCCCTTCTGCTCCCCCGCCGTCCAGGAGCCCCCCCCTCCCCCTCCTAACAAACTGCACTGCCTCCTCGCCGCGGGCGGCGCGTTTTTCGCCACCGCGGACAATGAACTCGGTGTGGGCAGTGACGGATCCAGGAGTTGGCGGCCCCCTTGATGGACCACGGTGGGTCTAGAGGATTGGCCGCGGGGCCGGTTTGGGGCTCACAAACTGAGGCCCAACGAAGCGAATTTGCTCGGGAAGGTCGGGGGGGAGAACGAACTCAAAGCTGCGTGCCCAAAAATTAAGGACCGGGTGCTCCAAAATTAATGGCCTAGTGCTCCAAATTTAAGGGCAGGCTCAATGCCCGAAAATTAAGAGCCGTCTGGTCCAAAGTTAAGGGCCGGGTGGTCTCAAGTGAAAGGCCGGGCGCGCACGAAGTAGAGCCATGTAAAAGCCCGGGAGGGCCCAAACGTGGACCAAGCACGGACCCCACGAATAATAATAACATGAATAATGATAATAAATAACACAAACAAATAATCATAATAACAACGATAAACAGATCACTACGGCATATAAATACCAATAATGTATATATATATATGTGTGTATATATATATATATCACGAAACACACAATACGAATACTAAGTTCGAAGAGATGGAAGATCGAGGGTATGCCGATGCATATATGCATACACATATATATATATATATATATACATATATATATATATACATACATACATATAAACATACATATATACATACATACGTACGTACGTACGTACGTACGTACGTACGTACATACATACATACATACATACATACATATATGTATACACAAAGGGAGAGAGAGAGAGAGAGAGAGAGAGAGAAAGAGCGAGAGATAAAGCAACTACCATGGAGAGAGAGACAACAATACATAACGACAAACAAACCATTATATACAACTTCATATAACTATAGTATGAGAAAAAGAGTGACGGAGTGAGGGAGGGAGAACGAGACAGAGAGAGAGACGAACAACTAGAAAACTATCTGGATGGCCGCGCCGCCCATGACGCGACACACGCACTGGGACATGGGATGTCCAGCACCGGTGTATGTTTACGGCGGGTACACGTCGTGACAACGTGTAGGGATTCAACGAAAGACGCCCGCGCTGGGGAAGCTGCCGCGTCAACACGACGCGACCCTGCCATATGCAGATGAAGCTTGTCTTTTTTTTCGACCTGAGGGACAACAAAAGGGGACCATCTCCGGGGGAAACATCGAGCTGTGATCGGCGACGCACATGGAAGCCTCTGCGGACCTCCGCGGCCCTATCATGAACGTGATTTCGGCCAGAAATCGTCTAGACTTCGTCCGGATGCCAACCAGATCCGGCAAAGTTCCCGCCTTGTCGTTGCCCCTGGTAGGCGCAGGCCGACCCCTCCCCAATTTGCTGGAAGCCCCCTGAGCTCTGAGCCCTGGGCCGACCCCGCCGCAGCGGTGCCGCCGCCCAGCCGTTCCGCCGCCGCCGTCGTGTCCGTCGCCGTGATCATATAATCAACCCATCTAGTCAGGATGCGCGGTGAGGATGCAACGGCCTTGGAAGGCCATGTCGACACTTTGCTGGCGATGCTCTGGCGGCGGCGCGCCCGTCGGGCCGAGGGGTGCCCCCCTCGGCCGCGGCGGGCTAGCGGCAGCTGCGGCAGGGCCGCGGCCGACGCCACCAACGCCGCCGCCGCCGCTGTCGCCGCCGCCGTCGTCGGCGTCGTCGTCGGCGTCGTCGTCGACGTCGTCGTCGGCGTCGGCTTCGTCGTCGTCGTCGTCGTCGCCACCGCCGCCGCCGCCATCGTCGTCGTCGTCGTCGTCGTCGTCGTCGTCGTCGTCGTCGTCGTCACCGGCGGCGGCGGCGGCGTCGGCGTCGGCGTCGGTGTCGGTGTCAGCATCGACGAGGGCGTCTGCGTCGACGTCATCGGCGTCGACTTGGGCGTCGACGTCGTCGTCGGCGTCGACTTGGGCGTCGGCGTTGACGTCGTCGGCGTCGGCGTCGGCGTCGTCGCCGTGGTCGTCGCCGCCGCCGCCGCCGCCGCCAACGCCGCCGCCGCCGCCGTCGTCGTCGTCGGCGGCGGCGTCGTCGGCGTCGGCGTCGGCGTCGTCGTCGGCGTCGGCGGCCGCGTCGGCGTCGGCGTCGTTGGCGTCGGTGTCGACGTCGGCGTGTGCGTCGACGTCGTCGGCGGGCCGCGACGGGCGAGCGGCGAGCGGCCGCGCGGCTGGCGGGCAGCGAGGCGCCCCCTCTGGAGGGGCAGCGGGAGCCCGC